TTTTCTTTTCAATCGCTTTGGGAATAGGACCGCTTTAAAAAGCTTTGAGCTTATCTGTTTTGTAATAAACTGTAATACTCATCTTTGAATTGCTAACGTATATTTATTACGAGAAATGTTAAGGTTCTATTGGTCGAGTTTGTAATTATCAGATCAATTATGACGATTATGTGATCATATAACGGTTACAAATCCCGATTGGATGTTTTCGGACCGTAGCATCGTTTTCTTTAACATTTTATTATTGTGTAATGGAATTATGAGAAAATGAGGTGAACATACCACCATTAGATGGTTGCAATAATGAGCAATGAGTGTAACGGGCTGAAATCCACATATAACAAATGTTAGGAGGACGCGTGACATAATGAAATTATTATAACTTTTACAATTGAGACAAATATTAAGGTGGTGATTGGTTATAAAATATATTATTTTAATTTTATTTATATGATAAATGAGTTGGTTTAAAAAAAAAGTTAATTGAGTGGGAGATTTGAGTAGATTTAGAGTTTATATTTAAATAATATTTAAAATGTAATAATTAAAGGTGACGTGGTCTTTAGAAGTATGAGAAATGTTATGAAAAAATGTTAGTAATTAAAATTATTTGAATTGGTGAATAGTAAATTGCATGTTGATATGATGTGTGAGAATAATTAAGTGTTACTATATAATTATAGTAATACTATTAATGAGAATGAATTTGATAAATTTGAGTTGAATGTTAAATTAAAAAAATTATGAAAAAATATATATGAATCAGGTGATTTATTTATTAACCAGTCGTTAGTTTTAATACATATATTGGCGGACATTATGTCAATGGTGTTTGTATTTTTTTTTATTTTTCTAAACATCAAACAAACTTGGATTAAAACTCATAAAAATGTACAGTAGACAAGTAATCAATTGATTACAACCCCTATAATAAGCAATTGCCAAGTAACAGAGTTACGAGGGAAACACATTATCCCCCTTCAAGACCTTGTAAGCTAACTGTAAGGCCGAATTACAACCAAGAACATAAAATAAAGGAAAGGGGCATGAAAATCATCTAACAAAGAGAGGATATCAAATAAGATGAGGGTTGCAGTTGAGGATGGTGTGCAGCGTGATTTGATCAGGCTGAGTGCTCCCATGTTAGCAAGCCTGCATGTGAAGTATTTGCCATGGTGGTCATGAGAAGAAGACAGTTGTTGCAGGCACCATCTCACAGCTAGCAGGTTAGCCACATCTTTGCAGCTTGTTGAGTGTAACACTGTTTTCCAAGAAAAAAATTACCAAATCCTGCTACTCACCAATGCATCCCACTCCAACCGAGCCATCCTGAGATAACACAACACTGGCACTAAGAGAAAGTTGCCCTACCTGTATCTCAGCCACATCCGAAGGAGGAGCAAGAGAGATGGGGGATGTAGATATCAACTGCAGGGGTTGTTCTTCAGAGAGAAGGGATGAGGTGAACTTTATCCAATCTCTCTTTGCAATCTCAACCACAGTATATTCATCAGTCCATTTCCCTTTGAACATCTAGATGTTCCAGGTCTTCCACAGCCACCATAGTAGGTATGTGGAGAGACTAATTCGATCCTGCAACTTATTATCAGAGCTTTGTGTACACGCAGATTGCCACCAATGTTTGAACCTGCAATCCTGATCATAGAGCATATTCCACTGGATTTCAATCATTTTCCAGCATGTTCTGACCTACCACAATTGAAGAGGATATGGTCGATGTCTTCTTTTGATTCCCCACAAAGTTTGCAGATGGCATTAATGTCAAGCCTTCTGATGGTGAGATTCTTGTTGCTGCTGATGAAGCTGTGCCAACATTTCCAAATGAAAGATTTCAGTTTGTTAGCAGTTAATGTGAATATTTAAGATTTTATCACCCACAAATGGGTTAAATGTTTGTTTGAGAAGATCTGTATCCCAATTAGAACCCTCTCTATTCATTAAATCTCTATCCCCAAGTAAGGTTCCTAGCAAGCATCAAAATCAAACTGACATGCAGGTTTTAAACCCATTTGTAGAAGGAAGCAAGGGGGAGTCTTAAATCCTAATTGATTTCTCATCCCCCACCTGGAATCTGACACCTAGCTGTAAGTACTTCATGGCTGAGAGCCAATTCTTCCATAGCCAGGAGTCCCCACTTCTAGCCGCAACATAAAAAAGACTCTTACCCTAGATATATTTACCCTTTAAGACCTTGCTAACCAAGAGATTAGGCTTTGTGATGAATCTCCATAGATGCTTAACTATCAGAGCCTCATTGAAAGCATTGAAAATTTTAAAGCCCATCCCACCACTAACTTTAGGCTTATCACATGCCGAAATTGTAGTTCGTGCATATAAATTTAGAAAGTAATTGATTGAGCAAACAAGCTTCAACTTGTCTGAAATTTTGGGTATATGACCGTCTCGACAATAAAATTGGACGATGGGTTACATATTTGATACTGACGTGAGATGACACCAGAATTAAGCCAAAGTAGAACAACTTAAAGTATTTTGGATGAAAAATAGAGTAGGCAAATGAAAACTAACTGAGCTACAAATTTGTGGTTACGACCGTCTTGATGAGAAAAATTCATTGGTGAGTCACCCGACTAAAACTTACACCAGAAGGCACAAAATGGCCCCTAGATAGACAACAACAAATTTAGGTCAAAATTATTTTGGATGAAATATTGAGAATGCAAACGAACTCCAATTGATATCAAATTTTGTGGGTATGGTTGGTTCAACTAGAAGAATCTGATGATGGATCACCCATCTAAATTGGGTGCTAGATGACATCCAACTATAGAAAATAACAAAAATTGTTTGGATGAAAATTTGTGTGAGCATACGAAAGATGATTGAGCGAAAAGTTTACGGGTACGACCGTCTCAATGAAGAGAATTCAAGGGTGGTCGCTCACTTGACACGGAGATCGGATGACATTAGGCTGGAAAGAAAATATCGGCCTTTATTCCGTCACTAATTATTAGTGGACATTGATGATTTTTTTTTAAAGTTAATATATTGATGTGGTCGTTAGTAGCGGCTCATGAAGGACCGGTTGTGATCCGGGTTCTAGTCGCACTCAGCCGGGTGGTCCAATCTGGTAGGCGCAGTTCATGGTACATTTAGGGTACATGGTCGGTAGGCGAAGGTTCTGGTAGGCACAACCCATGGTACCTTTGGAGTACATGGGTGGCCGGCGGAGGCTAGCTCAACGTTAACTAGGCAGCACCTGGGCACCTAGGTAGCTGGACGTCCCATTGAGGTGACCAGAGCCCAAAAGGGGTATCATACTCAAGTCATAAAGAGATTCGTAACCTCAAGGACTCTTGGAATTTTGACCTAATTTGAGGAAAAGACTCATGGTATGATAAGAACTCTATAGCCTCTACATGTCTTCATCTATAAAAGGGGCGCAGGTTATTTCATTTACAGAACACACACATAAAAATTCTCTCGTTATTCTGCCGTTTTTCCTTCGGACCACCACTGACTTGAGCGTCGGAGTATTCGCGTCGGGACCACCCCCGGCGTGTTTTGCAGGTACCGTCGATCAAAGAGACGTAACCCGGTTCGAGGAGGAGCAGTCCAGCGGTTCAAGTGTTTGTGGCATAACAGGGAGGATCGTGAAAGATAATTCATGGAAGCCCAAAAAGCAATGGTGATCGATGCTCATGGCCGTGAAGATGGAGGAGAGCTGAATTTCTTAATCCTTGAGGACAAGGAAAGTCTCGAAGAGGAGGGGAATGATACGGAAGTGGTCATCAACCCCAGTAAGTCCGACAATGATGATGGCGATGATCTCGATATTTGGCTAGAAAATATGTTGGAGGCGCCATCTAGTCCTATTTACCGGCCATCATGTGTACAAGATTGGCCAAGAGGTTGTAGGCCAAAACTGAAGTCGAAAGTAAGGAAACGGACGGCCAAGAGACAACGCAAGGCAAGGGCCAGAAAAGCAAGTCAATGTGGGTGCGAGCCTTGTGCAAAGAAAAGACAAGCTCAAAGGAAGGAGGCTCGAAGGCGTGGTTTGAGATGCGTGAAAGCTGGATGGTGGATACTGGCGGACGATTGTGAAAGGTTGAAAGGTTGGGATCCATGGCCCGAACCTACAGTGA